GCAGGACCCGGGCTGTCCTGGAAGGTGCCCAGAGCACATGGGCCTGCCCTGCCCACCTGGCCCCAACAGCCCGGCATTTAGGGGCCAGAGGTGTCGGAGGCAGAGCACAGCCAGCGGGGTGCAGGGCTCCGGCCTGGGCTCCTAGGGGAGGAGCGGGGCCCGGGAATGGAGTCAGATAAACAGGAGCAACACAGCGGCCCTGTGCGGGCCGAGGCAGAGGTGGACGCGGCAGCTGCTGGACGGGTGGGGGCCACGCAGTCACAGCAGGAAGCCGGGCTGAGCTTGGCAGCTTCAAGGAAAAAGAGACTCGGCCCTTCTGCCCCACTGGGCACCTCGCTGCCAACTCCACACCCATGCCCAGCCCGGCCCAAAGTCAGGGATCACGGAGCTGTCGTCCCCAAGTTCTCATGGGTGGAGGACCGGGGTCCGTCCTCATTGGTCCACCTGTGCCCAGTGGGGACGGCGGCTCCTGGACATGCTGTCACCTTCTTCTCTACACGTGGCTGCCCTGTGCCCCGGGACTCCTCAAGGGACAGAGGGACAGAAGGACAGAGTGGGACAGAAAGCATGTGAGTGACAGAGGGAGGCAGAGAAAGCAGAAGAAGAAAGAAGAGGCACCAAGGGCAGCAGAGTGCGGGGAGGAGGGCGAGGACAGAAGGGCAGGATGGGGGCTCAGGGAACCGTCAGGACAGACAGACGGACAGAGAGAGGCTGGGGCCCGGGTGAGGGTGTCAGGCAGGGGAGCCCTGGGGGAGCCCTGGGGACCTGGCTGCCACCTCCAGTCCCCAGCCTTGAGCCGCCACAGGCCCCTGGCCACCCTCGAGCAAGCCACACCCTGGCGGGTCACCCAAGGTGAACAACTCAGGGACCCATAAGGGACAGAGAGACGGTGGTCTCTCCGAGGGCGTGAGGGGGTCGGCGGTGCTGTCCGGGTGCCTGTGTTCAGTTCTACCCTGCAGCACAGGGCATGGCCAGGCCAAGGCGGCAGGGGCATCCCCAGACAGCCAGAGTGTGGGGCCTACTGTAGCATCTGCTCCCGCCAGGGCCAGCCAGTGCTTAGCCCCACACCAGCCCCAGCCATGGCCCAAGGCTGTGGCGCCCACAGCCGGTGCAGCCCAACCCCTGTCGCCACCTCTCTCCGACCCCAGCCCTCCCCTGCAGAGCTCAGCACCCCCTCCGCTGCCCTTCCTGCTCATACCTCATGGGACAGGTTTAAAAACTGTTCCAATTTTGGGGTAGAGAATGAGGTCAAGGGACCCAAGAGGGACAAATGTCTTTGTTTCACCTTGAAATTCCTTCCTGGTCCAGGAAGCGGGTCTGGGCCCAAGCTGTGGGGCTGCCACTGTCCTGGGAGATGGGGACAGTGGGACGGTCCAGTGGGCACAGGCCCAGCCCGGCCTGTGGTGCTAAGGCCGGCTCAGGGCAATGGTGTATGTGGGTATGGGACTCTTCTGTGGGTGCTGCTGAGGGGTGAACCCAGGGCCTTTAAGCTGAGCTGTATCCTCAGCCCTCTATGTATTCATTTTTAAATATTGAGAGAGGAGCTCAAGTTGCCCAGGCTGGGCTTGATCTTGCAATCTCTGACCATCAGTATATATACCGCTGTATATATTGCATATACTTAAACATATTAAGTATATATTATTGCTGTTGTCCTTTTTTTGGCCCTCAATATTTTAAAGTTATAAATGAAGCTAAATGAAACAAAACAAAAACCAAACCACTGTCCACCACAGTGCCCTCTCGCCCCCTCCCTACACAAATGTGCCTTCAGAACGACCCTGAGCACCGAGTCTCCGTTCAGGGTGCATCCAGGTGACACTGGGCATAGAAGGACGGCTGCTCTGTGCCGCTGTCCGAGCCCCCCTTCTGTACTACCAGAGGCAGGGACCCCCATGCAGTGCACGGGTAACAGTCCCACAAACATCTCACACTGGGGACTGCGACCCTGAGAACAGCTCCGCCCTCTGCCCTGCAGACCCCGGACCCCTCCTGCTACAGAAGGTGGCCAGAGAAGGGACAGTGGCTCAGGGCGGCACGCACAGCCATGCCAGCTGAGCTGCCTTCTCTGGGAGCCAGGCCTTTCGGTCTCCCGTATTATTTATCTTCCTGGAAAAATTTCCTGCGGCTTGGTCCCAACTTGGGGATTTCGGGAGGCAGGGAGGGCGGGGAGACGAAGCCAACAGGACACTTTTTTGTTAGGTCTCGGAGCCAGACTAGTTCAGGGAGGCAGAGCCCCGAGTGGGGGCCAGTCCTGGCGGGGCGTCCCCACCCCGGAGACCCAGGGCAGCCTGGGAGCAGGCGAGCAGGTGAGACTCCAGCATCGGTGGGGAGGTGACAAGGGCACCTTCAACAGGGCTCTGCTGTCCTACAGGAGGAGACGAGGGGACCCTCGACTCCGGAGCCTCGCCAGGCTCCTGGCACTGGCTGACCAGTGCTCTCCAAGCTCCGTACTCTCCGCAGCCACCCTTCGGGCTCGTTCTCCCCATTTCACAGGCGAGGCAGCAACCCGGAGGCCAAGGGAGCTGCCCAGGTCACGTGAGGAGGGAGGGGAAGACACGAGGGAGAGTTCCCTGACCCTGGCGGCCTGCCTGTCCAAGACTTGCTGTGACCTCTGGGGGGCCCGGGGGACCCCAAGGTGCAAGCCCTCAGCCCCTCTGGCGTGCTCTCCTAGGTCCTGACAGGGACCCCGACCCACCACGGAGGTGCACGTGGGCCACAGATCCCAGCCCGCGGGGTCCCCAGCCCTGGCCACACCTCCAGACCCGGTGTGGTAAGCGGGGTGCAGGTGTCCGGCCCCTGACCTTGCTGCCCACAGAGCAGCAGCCTTGGGGACCCTCGGACCCCCTCGGTCACCCCGTCTTGCGCCCCTCGGAGTCCACCCGGAAGGTCCGGCCGGCGCCTCTGGCCCCCCGGAGCTGGGTCTCACCCAGCGGATGCCCAGGGTCCCCACGGTCCTGGAGACCCGGTGTGGTAAGCGGGGTGCAGGTGTCCGGCCCCTGACCTTGCTGCCCACAGAGCAGCAGCCTTGGGGACCCTCGGACCCCCTCGGTCACCCCGTCTTGCGCCCCTCGGAGTCCACCCGGAAGGTCCGGCCGGCGCCTCTGGCCCCCCGGAGCTGGGTCTCACCCAGCGGATGCCCAGGGTCCCCACGGTCCTGGGTCCTGGACTGGTCAGGAGCCCCGCACCCCTGAGGACAGGCAGGAAATGCAGAGACCTCACCTGGCCTGAGCCCCATCCCACCTCTCAGAAGCCCGCTCAGCCATGGGTTGGGCCTCACACCTGAAATCGCAGCACTGGGGGAGACTGAGGCAGGAGGATTGCAAGTTTGAACCCAGCCTGGGTGACTTAGCCAGAACCTGTCTCAAAATAACAAAAGGGCCGGGTTGTGGCTCAGTGCGAAGGCCCCGGGTGCAATCCTCAGCGCTAATCAATCGACTAATCAATCAAAGCATGCTCCCCATGCCGGGGTCAGCTGCGTGGGAACTCAGGCCCCGAGGGTGGCCGGCAGGGCCCAGGCCTCCCCCTTCCCGCACCAGCTGCGGTCCCTCAGCTGTCGCTGTTTAGCCTTGGAATGCCAGGCGGCCGGACTTCGTGAGTCCAGCCACATTCGGAGGCCAGGGAGCTTAGCGCCCTGCTCCCCCGCCCTCCCTCGCCCCGGCCACTAATTTTATTGACCTGTGAAAGGCACGGAGCAGCGGGGCCTGAGTGGATGGGGCGAGGCAGCCCCAGAGGCAGAGAGGTAACAGGAAGACCCCTGGGGCCGGCGGAGGGAGAGGAAGCAGCAGCGGGCGCAGAACCTGTGCTGTCCTGGGCCGGCAGGAGGGGTCTCGGGCCCAGGGCTCCTCCCTTCCCATGAAGGTGACTTCAGCCCGCTGAGCCTCTTACTACAGAAATAGCCCTTTCCCTGAAGAGTCAACCTACATCTGGCTCCTTCTCTCATTAAAACGAGACCGGAAATTCAGGCCTTGGTCACTGTCCCCACCCCCAGCCCTGGCTCTCCCTGCCTGTCCCCGGGGAGGGGGGGTGGGGGGGGCGCGAAGGCACCACACTGACCCCTGCGGGTTTTCAGAGCTGGGGCTCAGTCCCAGCCTCAGACAACATTCAGGCCTTCCCCTGTCCCCACCCCCAGCCCTGGCTCTCCCTGCCTGTCCCCGGGGAGGGGGGGTGGGGGGGGCGCGAAGGCACCACACTGACCCCTGCGGGTTTTCAGAGCTGGGGCTCAGTCCCAGCCTCAGACAACAGGCCAAGGTTGTGCCCGACCTGACCTGGCCCCTCCAGCCAAGGCTTGCCGCTTTTCCTCAGGGAGGCCAAGATTGCCCACTGCAGAGCCCCACTCTGGCATCACTGAAGCCACTGCCACGCTGCTCCGTGCCTGGGGAAGGGTCGCCGCGATGAAGACTTCACAAAGGATATATATTTTTTGAGACAGGGTTTTGCCATGTAGCCCAGGCTGGCTTTGAGCTTGGAAAGATCTTCCTGCCTCAGCCTCCCAAGTGTGGTGATCACAGGTATGCACCACCACCCTGCTTTTTTTTTGTAGTACTCTTGAGAGTGATGCCTATGTTCTTTATCTTGATTATAGAGGAGCATACATGTTAAAACGTCCAATTGCACACTAAAATATGAGCCATTTATTGTCTTTTTCATTTTGGTACCAGGGATCACTCAGGACCTTGTGCCTGAGAGACAGGTGCAGTACCACTGATTGAAATCACCTGCCCATGACCCAATTATACCTCAACAGAGTGTGGTTTAAAATATTGCACACTGCCAGGTGTCATAGCACACACCTGTGATCCCATCACTCAGGAGGCTGAGGCAGGAGGATCACTGGGTGAGGTCAGCCTGAGCTACATAGCAAGAACCTATCTCAAAAACCAAACCCAGGGCCAGGGATTTGGCTCAATGGTTCTGCCGCCTGCCTTGCAAGCACAAGGTCCTGAGTTTGATCCCAGTACCAAAAACAAACAAAGAAACCTATACATTTTCTACTGTTCTCCCATTTATTTTTAATTTTTGAGAAGTCTCAGGAAACAGCAGTGGCTCCAGCAGGGAGGATGTTGGGGACCTAGTGCAGCAGTCAATCCTCCAGGCTGTTTCCGGTTCCATCCAGTACACATGGAGTATGCGCACACACTCCATCCAGAGCTGAGCCGTGTCCCTCCAGCTGCCTTGCTGTGAGGACCCAAGCCAGCTGAGTGCCCGGTGCCCAAGGCTGGTGGCTCAGAAAGGCGCCGGCCTGGACCTAAACTCCATCCAGGGAAGAGAGCAGCAGCCTTGGGCTCCCCTGCCCCCTGCAGGCCGAGCCGGGCACCACAGCGGCCAGCAGTCAGTCCAGGGTGAGGTCCTGCAGGCTCTGGGCACAGTGCTGCAGGAAGTCAAAGTCTTCCACCAGAAAGGGCACTCGGGACCACTTCCTGGCCTGGATTCGGCCCTGCGGGGTCTCCAGAAGCAGGCTTCGGACCTTGAGCACCGGCAGGGTCACAGACTTGTAGACCATCTGCAGTCCCCAGCTCTGGAGGGTCACAGAGGACACCAGGCTCTGGGCCGGGGGCAGGATTCTGTGGGCACCACGCCTGCACCTCCCGTCCACACAGGCCCCTGACTGGGGCTCCCGTACCTCCCCACAGTGGCGGCAGCTAATGGTGCCCCCCGGCTTCCAGTCCTTGAAGACTCTGTCAATGACCACGTGCTCCCGGGACACAGTGTAGTAGATCCTGGGGGGAAGGGGCAGCCACAGCCCACATGAACCCCAAGTCCAGACCCCACACCCTGCAGCCTTCCCGCTTCTCACTCGGGGTCTGAGGGAATCCAGGGCTGCTGACCACCTCTGGGTGAAGGGGGTACTTCCAGGTCAGACCTTCGGCTCCCTGCGGGGCTGCTCTGCCTGCATTTTTCTCTTGTCCCTGGCAGAGGGGCCTACCCCATTGCTCTTGCCTATATCATCTTCTGCCCATCTTCCCGCAGCCAAATACTGCCTCTCACACGGCCAAGTGGCCTGACACTGCAGGTCTCTAATGAATGCTCCCTGAAGAATGGGAGGAGGCCGGGACAAGATCACCCTCCAGGGGGTGATGGGGGGGCACAGCTTTTAGAGACAGCCTTGCTGTACTGCCCAGGCTGACCTTGAACTCCTAGGCTCAAGATACCCTCCTGCCTCAGCCTCCCACAAAGCTGGGACTGTATGTGCCACCATGCCAGGCAGCCATCCTCTTTTGATGTCCTCAGAGAAGATGGGACCAGACCTGGTGGGTAGCCATTGAGCATGACAGCCCGAACCCACCCAGCTCACACAGCATGACTCAGTGGCTCAAAGCCTGGCAGGTCACCCAGCCTCCCTACTTCCTCTCACCAAACTGAATCACCAGAGGCTGCATTGCCAAGCCCACCAAGTACTGCTGCCACCCCGCTCCACTCCCGACAGCCCCTCCACGGCTCACGAGAAATTGGGGTTCACATTGACGTGGTGGGTGCCCGCCACCCTCCGCAGGTCGCTGCCGTGGCCCACGGCCACCATGCAGTTAACGCACAGCAGCCGCACGTGTTCTGCCAGAAACTGTCGCCGCTGGCTGTCCCTCCGTGAGGCACGGGCTGCACGCTTGACCGCCGCTGCCCCTTGCAGGTCCCGGATCTGGGGCGAGGAGGGGGTGCAGTCAGAGCTCCGGGAGACCCCGGGGCAGCGTCCTCGCCCAGCACCAACCTTAGCCTGGTACTCGGCCGGGTCCATCTTCTGCACCGTGGCCACCGCCTGTTCCATCAGGGCCTCCAGGGCCTCATTGGTCAGCTCGCGCCGCAGCTCACGACTGCCCTCCGTGGCCACAAATGAGTACACGCTCTGGTTGGCCCGGGCTCGGCCACGAGCCTGGGGAGCAGGACAAACAGGGGTCTGAGAGGAGCTGGGGCGCCGGGTCCCTAGTGGCTGGTGGGGCTGGAGGGCTCAGCACCTGCACCATGGAGATCTCATTGGTCAGGAGCCCGTAGCGCACCACCACGTTGCATTTCGCGATGTCCAGCCCCTCCTCAGCCACACTGGTGGCCACCAGCAGGTTCAGGGCGCCAACTTGGAACTTGCGGATCACTTCCTGCTGGTCCCTCTATGGGGTACGGGCAGGACACGGGCGGCCCCTGCCCTCAGCCTGGGCACGTCCCAGCCCCCAGGGCCACCCGCACCCCACCACCGGCTGCGGGGTGCACACCTGCGTCATGTGCACGCTCTGGCTGCTGCTCCCTGCCCCAGTCAGCGTCTGGGCCCTGATGTCCATGGCCTGCAGCCCGGGCCGCTGCTGGAGCCAGAGCAGGAGGGAGTGGGCGCTCTGCCGGGTGCGGGTGAAGACAATGCCCCGGGGGCTGCCGGGGCCCCCAAGCTGTGCCTGCAGGATCTGCTCCAGCATGTCCAGTTTGGGGTTCTCGGGCCCGTGCGTCGCCAAGCGGGCCAGC